ACAAAGGAAAAGAGAACACAGTCTTAAAGATAGACACATTAAATAGATAGACAGAAAGAAATTAAAAGGAAAAGATAAAATAAAGAAAGACTGTAACAAAACAGATTATTAAAAGATAGTATATAGCTGTTTTAACAGACTATATCTGGTTGATTTCCTCCTCTTCATATTCAGATAATTCTGAATTTAGCCATTTTCTTGTAGCTGCTTGAGTTTCTGATAGAAAGTCTATTAAGTATTTAATTCCTGTCTCAGTTGAGAATAAGAATCTCATATTTAATTAATTTAGATTATACTTCTCTTTCAATCTGACTCTGAGACTATTGTATAATACACAGTGTATTACAATATACTCAGGATTCTCATTTGTATTGCAGAATGAGCATTTTATTGAGTCAAATCTATCATTAAATCTTTGTATATAAGATTTGAAATAGCTATGTCCTAGTTTCAGCTGTATTATAGATGAGAATATTTTCTTTTTACATTTAATTGAACAAGATTTTCACTTGAGTTTTGTTTTAAATCTTGAATAATGTATACTCTTCTTTTGTTTCTGCCAGCTTTCATTCCACTTGTTTAAACAAGATTCTTTTATTTTTCTCTTTATAAAAGACCAGGACATAATTTTTTGAATAGATCTGCTTAATTCTGCATCCTTTTTTGCAGCTGAATCAGCCAATTCATTATCATGAATATTCATATGAGCAGGAACTCAGTGTAGATGAATTATCAGCTTTGATATTCTTCTCTTTTGAATTTTTAAAATAGAGTTTAAGATCAGTTCAAGATTCATTTGATTATTATGAATCTGACTATTTCTAAGTCTCTTTAAAGCAGCTTGACTATCAGAGAATATTTATATCTCTTTCAAACAATTTCCTCTTTTATAAGATTTCATTTCAATGAGTTTGAAAGCTTTCACTATTACAAATAGTTCAGTATCAAAGACTTCACATTCAGAGCCTAGATTTCAGAAGTCTGAGATAAAATTGATATTATCTTCAGTATAAGCAATATCTGCACCTAATCTATTCAAGTTATCATTTTTTAAGTCATCTGAATAAATCAGAATAGAGTCTTTTATATTAATTATAGAAATTCTCTTCAAATACTGTTCATATTCTTTCTCTTTTGATAGTTCACTTATTTATAAGTCTATAAGAGATTCAAGCTTTTCTCTTCAGAGAGATAACTTCTCATGATCAACTTTTTCAATATTTAAAGAAGAAAATTGATTTTTAATCAGAGAGTATAGTCTGTACAGTTGAGAAGGCATTTTCTTTGAAGAATTATTTTCATTTCAATCAAGAAATCTATTTCAATTCAGTTCATTTCCAGAGTTAATTGATGAAAATGAAGAAGAGACTCTTTCTCTGATTATATGATTTGAGCTCATCTTTACAACTCTCAGAGCATAGTTCATACAGGCCTTTTCAAATCTAATAGCAGGAGAAGAAATTGAAGCTTCAATTTTCATTGCTTTAATAGAAGATGATTTGAATGCTCTCAGAATTCTTCTCAAGACTCTGTTTTACAGACTTTGAAAGAGTTCAGTGAAATTCTCTTGATTATTTCATCAAACTTAAACTTCATAATCAGCTACTGATGTAATACAGGCTATATATAACTGTCTCATAGCCTGGAAGAACAGACCTCTCTCTGTATTTGATAGTCTGATTATGTTGTTCAATAGTCTTTCTATCTTGACAGTTCTTTGTTGAATGTGATATTTAAAATTCAACTTGAAGTTTAATCATACTTCTAACTATTTAATATTTACACTGAGTTTAATCTCTCTATTTAAAAGAGTTAGAGATAGTTCTTTCTCATTGAATCTTGAAAAGAAGTGAATTAACTCAGTTTTATTCATATTAAATTGAATTTGATTGATATCTGCTCTAATAAAGATTTTCTTTGCAGCTTCTTCAATTACTTTCAAATTCTCTTTGATAGTTTTTGAGCTGTAGACTAGATCAATATCATTCATATAACTTGAAGATCACACTATTCTCATATTTCTATTTTTAAATAGATATGCAGTGTATATTGTAAATAAAATGAGTGAGATTGAAGATCTCTGTGATACTCTCACTTTTATCTCAGTCTTGTCTTGTTTTATTCCATCAAAGAAGAGTTGTATACTTCTTTTAGATATAAAACAGTTAACTCATTTTATTAGAGAAAGTGACAGTTTTAATATCTTCAATGTCTGAATTAATCTTGACTTTGAAACATGATCAAATGCTTTTTTTATATCAATAAAAACTGCAGTTGAGACCAGACTCTCATACTTTGCTATTTAAATATCATGAACAACTGAGAGAACAGTGTTAATTGCAGAACACTGTTTTCTATCTCTCATTTATTCACTAAATAAAAGAGAATCATCTATAGAGCTTATAAAAGATAGTTGAGTAGCTATTATCTTTTCTAAAACCTTTTCTAGGCAGTTCAATAGAGATATTACTCTATATGACTTAGGAATTGAAGTTTTTCTATTAGGTTTTTCAAGAATCACTCCAGTGGCTTCTCTTCAGTATTCAGAATGATATTCATTTTTCAAGAGATTGAAAAAGAGCTCAAAATATTCATTCTTTAAGTAGGAATATGTATTCTGAATAATCAAGTGATTAATTGAATCAGGATCTGCAGTAGTTTTAACAGAACTTGAGAAGATAGCTGACTCTAATTCATCTTGTGTAAGATCAGGTCATTCTCAGTTATTTTCATCAATGTAATTGAGAAGTGATATATTCTCTTTCTCTGAATCTGAATCTGAATCTGGTGAGTTCTGAAAGAGAATTCTCATAAAAGCTTGACATTTTTCCTCAAAAGAGTTTGCTGTATATAATTCATTCTGAAACTCATATTCTAAGACTGGAAGTTTTGCTACACTTCTTATTTTAGTATAGTTAAAAGCTTTAAAAACTTCCTTTTCTTATACTTGTTTAAGAAATTTATTCCAGCAGTCTGTTTTAGCTCTTTTAATATCTGAAAAATATTCATTTCTGACAGCTTTGAACTCTTCATCAGATATTATATCATTCTTTCAATCTCTTCTAGCAGTAGCTAATTCTTTTCTTTTAAATGAGATATTCTCATTTCATCAAGATTTTGAATACTTAGAAGATTTTCTCTTTGAAATATTATCTCTAACACTTGTTAGAATAATAGATGTAATAAGCTTCACTCTATTCTCAAGCATTTCATTTGAGATATCTTGATCAGAATTCTAATATAGCTCATTCTGTCTTTCAGATTTTAACAGTTTTATGCTTTTTTCAACTGCTTTTCAATCAGCTTTTTCAAAGTTATACTGATTAGAGAGAAGAGGATTTTCACTCATTTGTTTTTCACTCAGTTCAATATCAAATTGAATAATCTCATGACCTGATCCTGATGTCTTATTTGAATCAATAAACCAGTTTATAAGTCTTCTTTTCATTAGATTTTGTGATATGAAGATTAGATCTATAATAGACTTCTATTTCATGTCTTTTCTAAAGAATGTTTGTTGATCAGACTTATTAATCAAATCTATTGAATGCTCAAAGATTCATTCAATCAGATTATCAGCTCTCACTACTCTCTTGCATTCTGAATTTCATCAGAAATAATGTGTATTGAAGTCTCCTGCAATAATAGAGTTTCTTGATAAAGTTATATTCAGAAATTCTCTATCAATTGTTCAGATATTGTTATATTTCTTCAATGACTTTTTATTATAGATATTTATAAGCTGTATAGTATCAAACTCATTTTCTTTATCTATAATATCACCCACCAGAATATCAGGGTCAGACATGATATCAAATCTTAGATTAAATTAATATCTTGATCTCTTTCTTTCATAGATCACTACTCTTGACTTTATCTCAGACTTTTGAGGTAAAAAGCAGTAGTAGCTTGAATAAGAAATGATATATTTTTGCTCAGCATCAAAATTCGGCTTCTGAAGCAGTATAAAATCAACTTTTTATTCAAATGTAATTTGAAGACAAGAATAAATGCAATTTGAGTTTCTATTCACATTATTTTAAATAAATGTGATTTTTAAAGAGTTTTTAAACTTTTTTTGTTGTTTTTATTGTATATTCATACTAAAAGAGAGTAGAGTAGAATCTAATCACTATTATCAGATAGTAGATTATAACTGTTCTGAAAAGTAGAAATCTCAACTGCTTATATTATATCTAGTTTATCATCAGAGTCATTTCTCAATTCTCTAATCTTAACAGAAGTTTGAGAATTCAAATTCTGTTTATATTTAGCTGAAGAATTGAAGTTTGAAGACTTAGACAGTTGAGAGTTTCTTCTTTTTAAGCTTACAGTTGTGAGTTTACTGGCTTGACTATTCTCTTCAGTTCTAGATTTACTCTGAGCTTCATCTTTTCTTCAGGTCTTTTGAGTTCTTGAAGTAAACATACATTCTTTTGAGCTAGATGCATATTTTTCTTTACAATTAGAGTATTTAAGTAGAGTGTATTGACATATTTCATCTCTTTTTAAGCATGTTTCACATTTATGCTTACTAGTTTTGTGATCTCTGACACAGAATACACATTTTGAGTCTCTGAAATAGAAGATTACAAAGTGTTCATATCTTTGACAGTTTGAACACTGTGTTTGAGCTTTGAGATTCATTCTTGAGTCTTTGTATTCATGAACTCTCATTTTTAAACCTACTACTCTTACTTCAGAGATCTTTGACTATTTCATTATCTTTGTATATACTAGAACAGAGACATTTCTTCTGCTTTATCTGAACTCAATTGAATTTAGTTATACAGGCTTCTTTCTCAGTTGAATAGAGTTGTATTCTTCTAATTCACTTTTAAGAAGTAGTATTTCTTCTTCACAGTCAAAAATTTCAACTGAAATATTATAAAGAATGAATTTGTCTCACTTTTCATCTCTCTCAGATAGAATTATTATGTTTAACAAAGATTCTACTGCTGATTTTCAGAGATTCTCATTCTGAATAAGGAATTCAGCACTGAATTCAGACATTGTAGTCAGAATAATGAAGTTTTCAAAGAAGAATGACTTAATTGAAGCTATAACTGATTTTTGAACTTTAATATCAGTTATTAACTGAGAAAAGAACTGCTGATTGATTTCATTTCTAATTCTAAAAATAAGGTTTGAGTTTAGCTTATTTCTCTGTAATATGTCCTGATTTGAGACTTTGAGAATAAGTCTTCTATTTCTGGAGATTTGAAGATTTTTCTCTTTTTACATTTTTTTCTTCACTCTTCAATCACTAGAAGTATGAGCAGTATTCTTCTCAGTTTTCTCAGAATTTTGAGCAGATTTTGAGATAGCAGATTTAGAGATAGCAGGTTTAGAGACAGCAGATTCAGCTGCTTGAGTATATATTTTCTTCTGATTTAAAGAAGAAGAAGAAGAAGAAGTAGAAAAGAAAGAAGAGTAAATAGAAGAGTCAGTGATTGTATTAGAAATTTTCAAAGTTTTTTAAACTATGTTTGAAATTCCAAGTTTGAACTTGATCACTTTCTGTAGTTGTCTAGCCTGAGCATGAAGAATTAACAGAACTTCTTCATTCATCTCACTCAGACACTGCTTTTCAAGAATTTTACTTACTTTTTCAAGTTTCTGTATTTCAAGAACTTGTTGTTTCTCTATTTCTTCTTTCTTTCTTCTCTTCAGAATTTCAATCTTAGAATAGCATTTGAGAAAGCATCTTTTTTCACATCAACTGAGTGTACTTTTGAACTCATTGTTCTTACTCAATGAAAAGTTGATCAGACTAATTCAATTGAGATATTTATTAAACTCTTTTGAATTGAAAAGTTGGTCAGACTGTTTCAATTAAGAGATTTCTAAGTCTGTTTTCAATTGAAAAGTTGATCAGACTATTTCAAAAGAAGAATAGCAGACTTTTATGTATAAAATACTTGATTTTTTTCACACTAGTTCAGTAACTAGGTTAGATTTTTGAAGAGAATCTAATAAACTAAAATTGATTTTTAAGATAAATTAATAAAATCTTTACAATCTCTTTCTTGGAATACAGTGAGAAAAAGTGTGATATCAATTAATAGTAAATCAGATAATATAACAGTTTTTGAGAGAAAAACTGACAAAAAATAAATCAATTTTTTGCAGAGAAATTGATTAAAACTATTCAATTTTATTCTAAATTATTCAATTCTCCTCACACAACAAGTATGCAACTCAAATCAGTTAATAAAGAGTGTAAAAAAGAATTAAGTATTAATGAAAGCTCTTCAGTCACTGAAAAAGTAATTCTTATTTAAAAGAATATGAAATTATGACAGAAAATAACTCTGTTTTTAATTCTTTGTAAGAATATTGTGTAAAATCCAGAGAAAAACATCTTACTTTTTCAAGAGAAGTAAAAAACTATTTCTAAGATCTTTTTTTTTTTTTTTTTGCATTAACTGCTGCAGAAGAATGAGATAGAAACTGCTAAGATATACACTACTGTATACTCTCTATCAAGACTTTCCCTCTTCAGAGTCTTGATATTATAGAGAATATAAGTCTGTTTCTATATAATAATGTAAATATTGTCAGCAGGATGTAGAGAAACTGGTTATTTATATCTCAAAATAGAAGACTTTGTCAATGATTATATCAATATAGAGTTAATTCTTAAATTCAATAGAAATCTAGTGTTGCTGTTCTCAATCTCTTGCAGAATCTATTGAATATTAAGATATTAAAACTAGATTTAATATATCTCACTGTGCAGGGATCAAAGGCTCAGTCAGATCTTGAGATATACTGATTTTATAGTTATTAATATGCTGTTGACTCATTGTCTGTTGATTATGTGCTTAATATTATCATCAAGGTATCTTTTTGTATTTTTCTGCCGGAGATGGGCCAGATTGAGAAGGGCGGTATGAGGGTGGGACTTGGCATTGGTGTTTTGAAACATCAAAGATGGACAGGGTTTTCGCGGAGGTCGCTTCTCAGATATCTCCACAACTACAGATCAGGGATCTTCCAAAATTGAGAAGATTGGTGCATACGGCTAGGTCTCTTCACCTTACAATTTGTATGGCAATTTGGCCCGGGGTTGTGGTGTGATAGGGGAGAATGAGGAATAATCCCACGCAGGAGTTCCGAATGACGTCTGGTTCATGTTTGGCTGGATAACTCCACCACCACACGGGGTATGCGGTCGGCGATGGGGTCAGAATGCTCGTATGATCGAGGGCTTTTCGATGGATCTATCGGCGGGTTCTTATTCGAAAAATCGAGCGAGTTCGTGGTGGAGCGGTTGATTGTTTTGAGTGAGTAGTGACGCAATAACTCAGTAGTGAGAACAAGAATTTCTGAGCTTAACTATCTGAGCTCTTCTCTTCTCAGAGTATACTCAACATTTCTCATTGTTCTCTTGATAGACAGTATATCTGTTCTTTCTCAGCAGCTGCTCACTCAGCTTCATCTTCATTATTCAGTTAATATGATCTCATACTCTCTACTTCTGTAAAGAGAAGCACTGAAACTTCTTGTGAAAGACTGATCATCATTTCTCTGATTTCTGAGACTGATAGAATGATAAGCTCTTACTCATCATTCAATTTCAATCTCATCTTGACTGACTTGTCAGCTGTGCCTGCTCTCGACAGACACAGCTGGCAGATAGAGTGTTAAGAGAGAGAGAGATATTATATAGCATTGTTAACAGTGTCAGTGACAGTGAGAAGAAGGAAGTGCTCAACACAGAGAATGGCTGAAAGAATAGAGAAGGTGAGCTTATCAGTGCAGAGAGTGAAAAGAGTGAGAAGAGCAGAAAGGGCCATAATAACTCTGAAGAGAGAAAGCGAAAGCTAATATAACATATCAGTGATTGATTCTTTTTCTATCACATATATCTCATTCATATTCATATTACTTACTTGATTGATTCTGATAGAACTTCTTCCTCTGTAAAGAATAGAGAAGAGAAGAAGTCTGAGAAAGAGAGAGAAAGATAAGAGCAAGAGCTGCTATGTAATAATATTAGCTTCTTATTCTCTTATCATATTACACTTATTTAGAGAGAGCTTTTCACATCTATCTGAACAAGTTCAGCTTATCATCTCTGTTCTTTAAAGAAGGAAAAGAAGTCTCAGACACTTTCTCACTCTCACTCTCACAGATGAGAGTGAGAGTGAGAATGAGAATAGAGAAGTGAGAATGAACACAGACATGAGCATGAGAAGAAGAGTTAATTATCAGAGTTAGTATTTCATTTCATTCTCATTATACTTTTCATGCTGAATAGATATATACAGTGAATGACAAACTCTGCCAGAGTGAAGTTATTCATGCAGAATAGCTGTGACAGCAGTAAGTATATTCTTTTCACTAATGAGAAAGCAGGGTGAGTGCATCTGCATCAATGTTGTGAGAGAGAGAGATGTTATATTGATTTTTTTGAATCATAAAGAAGAAGAAGAGAAAAAGAGAAGAAGAGAAGAAGAGAAAGAAAGAAAAAAAAGATTCAAAAATATCAGTATAGTATTATTCATTTCTTCTTCAATATAGTGAATTTATCTTCTCACTCATTAACTAATTTAATAGACTCAGAAGTTCATATAACTTCAAAGAAATTCACAGATGTTTATAAAAGATCAGTGAAGTTAAAAAAAGATCAAAGATCTCATTATCTTACAGCATTATTTCCCTCAAAGATCTCATTGTCTTACAGCATCATTTTCCTTGAAGATTTCATTGTCTTACAGCATCATTTCTCTTGAAGATCTCATCATCTTGTAACTGCATGATGATCAGCATTTTCTCATTCTCATTCTTCACTAGCAATGAGAAGCTTTTTATACTCTTCAAGCTATGTGCTGTTTTTCTCAATCTCATTAATCTGAAAGTTCACAGAACTTTAAAGAAGTTCACAGATATTTACATGAGATTTCATTAATTCAGAAGTTTGCAGGACTTTGAAGATCATGATAACTTGAATAGCTGATATCTTCATTTGTTTGTGAGCTATGATTATTATCTCAACTCAGATATCACTTCTTGTTACTTATTTTACTGTCAGAGACAGAGAATATAACAATTATGAAATTTAATAATACTTTTTTGATTGATTCTGCATTATTTATGAACACTATACTTCTTCTCTCATTCAACACAGTTACACTTGAACTGCTTTCAGACTGTGATTTTGAGTGTGTGAACTGCTAGAGTAAGATACTATTTAAAGCTTATTAAGCTTAGAAGAAAATCTTTGACAGTTGTTGAGTCAGTTATATAAGCTATATTCACTTTTTGAAGTGAAGTTCATATCTTTAAGATATTAAGATTTAAGTGAGAAAATAATCTCATCATTCTGCAGTATCTGAATTCACACATTGATTATCTTCAAAAGATAGTTTTAGATTAGAAAGAAGCTGAGCTTTCATAATCATTATAGACTTAGAAATCTTTAAATTATAGTTATTAAGAACTTTGTCAGTTGTGTGACTAAGATTGAGTTTTGACTCTTCAACTGCTTTGTGACATTCAATCAGATGTATAACAGCAAATTTGATCATTAATGCAGTTTACAGCTCATTAAGCTTAAAAGAAAATCTTTGATGATCACACAGCAGAATTGAAAGAATAGTATCTCATTGATTATTTAAAATAAAGAAAAAAAGAAAAAGAAAAAGAAAGAAGACATTAAGAAAAAAAATAAAAATAAAACTAAAAATAAAAGTAAAAGTAAAAGTAAAAACAGTAACAGTAACAGAATACAAAGCTACTTCTTAATAATTCTCTTATCAATCTTACAGTCAACAGAATCTGCTGAGCATAAAGAAAAACTCATTGACAACTTCTCATTGAAAAAATAACTTGTATTATACAAGTCAATATTATGATCTACACTGACAACAATCTGAGAATCTTCTTCAACAAATGATTTCAGTGTATAATCATGATAGAACCTGATCAATCAGTTGTTTATCATCAGTATGCTCTGCAACTTCTTCATAATATAACAATAATTATCATCATCTTCTTACTTATGACACATCATCTCCCGCGATCTTCTAATATAATATTTTACAATAATATAAGACTCTCTGAGAGTCTATAATAATATCTGTTAATATCTAAGCTTTCTCTAGAAATATAGTGAACATATAGCACAGTATATTAAATCATGAAAATGACAATTATCACATGTCTTTCTAACATCAGAAACAATATATTTATGTAACAGCTTAAATTCAGTCACATAGAGACAG